AAAAAAAAAAAAAAAAAAAAACAAGCGAGCTAATAGTAGCTCCATACATGCATATTCCCAGCATGCAATGTGCAAACAAGCAATTTTCCCTCTCTGAGCAGTCATCACAGAAAAGGTTCATAAGAAAATCCTTGAAGATAACAAACAGTTCCCTGTGCAAATGACATTGTGTGTGTGTGCGCACACACACACACACACACACACACACACTCATAGGGGCAAGTGTGAGGCCAGGAGGTATCCTTGAGTGTTGTTCCTGAAGTAGACTAAGCTGTCTCTGGCCACCGAGTTTCAAGGATCTACCTATCTATGCTTCCCTAGCGCCAAGATTACAAGAGTGTGCCATTAAGTGAGTTCTGGTGATCAACCTCTGCCAGGGGAGCACTTCACTGACTATCATCTCCCCAGCTCTGTCACACAGTATTTCTGCTACAGGAAGACCTTCTGGGAAGGCCTGGAGTTAGACCTAGAAACTAGGGGCGGAGAAAACACGAGTGTAGTAAGAAACAACGAGAAAGATAGAGCCGTAAGAGTGGGAGACAGTTTTGAGAGTGGGATTAGGCAAGTGACCAGCTGGGTGGGAAGGTTCAGGCCAGAGGAAAATGGACCATATTTCTAAAACTTGTCTGTGCTTTGATTTCCTTATCTCAGAACCAGAATTTTAATAACACTCCTTAAGAACTGTTCTACGAGTTAATGAGATAATTGTGTTTGAGTACTCTGAAGACGGTTTCAGGAGGAAGAATCCAGTCTTGGACTAGGGATGTTGTGCAAGGGTTGAACACTTGCCTGACATGCATGACCCAGGAAGGGGAAAAGGGGGTGGACAAGGAGAAAAGGAGGGATGATCTGAGAATGTGCACCCGCCTAATTTCCTTGGGGGTAATTGCTGGTTGTTTTCTTGTTGCTTTTTCAAATCCTTGGTCCTCTCTGAGGGCCATAGCTCTGCTCTGATTGATGGTGGAAAGGTCAATTTTACCGTCATTTCCCAACTTGAATGGATTTCCCCCACTCAAAAACATATCCCATTTCTGCTTAGCTGGCGGTCCTCTCCTGACTCTGAGAGCACAGAGCCCACCTCCCTCTTTTGCAAGGCTAATGATCTTCTTGCACCTTGCCCCTGTGTCAAGGGTTCTGCAGTCTCTGTAAGGAAGATCTTTCTCAACAAATCCATTCCTTCCTCGCTTTCAGTGACTCCACCAATTAATACCTTTCTGGCCCCCATTTCGATTCTAGAATTAAGATTCTAAGAATCCATACAAAGGGCACAAAAAATTTTGCGCATTAGGCCTGAAAATATTAACGTTAAAGATGGAAGCCAACTTGTTCACAAATAGGGCATTCTTTGTTTGGAAAAGACCTTTGATATGAAAGAGGAAACTTCCAAAGCTAAATTGTCTTGTATGAGAAAAGTTAGAGGAACTAAAAGCTGGAGGTCAAAGAGAAGGGAGGAAGCAAGAGAAAGAGGTGAAATGGGACGATTGTTGGGGACCTTCCCCCCCCCCCCCAAAGCCAGCCAGCAAGTAGTTAAGAATGGTCGAATGAGCTTTTAAGCACAGGCTTAAGTGATTGGCTAGGTTGTGATATTATAATTTGTCTTTACCCTCATCCTCTACCAGAATGTACTTGTACAACTAAAAGGCTCTATTGGAGTGATTTTTGTTTTCCTAAGCCAAAGCAATTTGTATACATATTTTCAACTACCTTTCTGATGCCTGGTTACTTCAAACTATCAAAGTGGAGCAGTTGTTTATCTTATTTTACTGTGTGGGGGTGGGGGTGAGGGAGTAGGGGGTTGGTGGTGGGGAGGTGTATTTGTGTGTATGCACTCAAGTGTGTAGTGTGCATGTAGGCCAGAAGTATCTTCCTCCATCCCTTTCCACCTCTTTTTGAGGCAGGGTCTCTCCCCGAGCCTGAAGCTCACCAATGCAGTTGCCTGATGAGCCGCAGGGTCCTGCTTGCCTTGCTTCTTCAGCGCTGGAATCAGAGGAGTGGACCATCTAGTCCAGTTTCTGACAGTGGTTTCTGGTAATCCAAGTCCAGGGCCTCTTGGTTACATGACAAGCACTTTACTACTTGTCTGCTTAATCTCCCTGTGTCCTGGAACAATTACTTAACGAGATGCTAAAATGATTCTAGAATGGACCAGGAAGGCAGATGTGAAAGCTTGTCACGTGATGAATAACTGAAGAGCTGTCAAGTATCTGTTTAACTAAGGGCATCTACTGGCCACAGCCTTCATTTTGAAATGCCTTTCTGGAATGTTCCACCCTCTGTATCTCCTGCTATCTGTCTGCTTTGTTTTGCGTTTGGATTGGGGGTCACCCATGTTCCTTCATGGCTGTGTATAAGGCTTCTGGCCCTCTCCTCTGTAGGGCAGTACTTACCCGTTTTAGATAAACATCCCAGGCCAAGGTAAACAATGGGGAGCTTCATTGAGCTCCTCTTCTATGGGTGGGACACCTAGTAGATCTGTTCCTGGAAATAGACACTAGGTAGACCTAACATTACTCTGCCTCCAAATACTTAGTTAGCAAAGGGCATATTCTCTGTAGCCCCCAGACATAGACTAAAAGGAGAAAGGATATGAATGGAACAAGGTGAAGTTCAAAAACAAAGCAAAGAGGTTTTAGACTACAACCCAAGCAATTGCAGCCTTCGTTTTCTCTGATCTGAAAGGGCTCAAGCAAGCAAGGGATTGACCAAGAACAATTAGAAGCATGGTGGAGACCTTTGCAAAGAGGCCATGCCCCCTTTACACCATTGCGCTAGAGGGTCTACAGCTCCCTTTGGCACTAGGGCTCTCTCATTTTAAGTTTCATTTTTTAAACTATTATTTTTATCTTGTAAGTATATTCGTGTTTTGCCTCCATGTATGTCTGTGCACCCTGTGCGTGCCTGGTGCCTACAGAGGCCAGAAGAGGGTGTTAGATGCCCAACGACTGGAGATACAATTGTGAGCCACCATATGGGTGCTGAGAATCAGACCCAGGTCCCTCTGGAAGAAGAGTCAGAGCTGTTTCTCCATCTCTCCAGCCCTCCCTCCCATTCTAAACAATACATTGTTCTCTGGCTTCAAAAAGAAAGAGGGCGAGTGCTTGGCTGGAAGAAACAGTCTGGACTGAGAACCATCAGAGGGTTCTTATGGTTGTTGCCAAGAAGGAAATTAAAACTCAAGATGAGAAGGTTAAATCGGGGTTGGGGAGGAGGGGCACAGTAACCTCAGAAGAGATCTGTTAAATCATCTGTGTCTTCCAAGCAGCTTGGACCTAAAGAATGTCAGCAGTTCTCATCCTCCCACACAGCTACTCTATAATAATTAGTTTTCCTGCTTTCTTTCCCACAAGCGATTACCTTAATTATTTTAATTAGATTGTTCACGCACACAAGCTGTTTACAAGCACTTTTCTTTTTATGGCATCCCAGTAAACAGGAGAGGGAAACTACCACCTTAGAGGAAGCCTGGCAGTTTTCAATATCTAGGCCATGGTCCACCCTGGCCGGGAAACCTCCAGCATCCCAGGACCACTTTCCTGAGGAGAGTGAGAAGCCCCATCCCTAGGAGAAAACAAAACAAAACAAAAACAAAAACCCAAGTCCCATGTGTACCTTCTGTAATCAATGCCAGCCGAAACCGCGGGAGTCCATAGCCTGGATTTGGTACGGTCCTCTGGGGCAGCTCTGTGCATCGCAAACATTCAAGGCGATAGATGGTTAGTTGCCAGGCTTGATTAAGACTCCTCATACTTGGCATTTCTTAGCTATCTAGTCGATTCCTTCTCTCTCTTTCTACTAGTTGAGTGGCCTTGAAAACATTTTAACTTCTCAAATTCTCAACTTACCGATCTGCCAAGTAAAGGTAAAAGCAGCAAATTTATAGTTACTCGAGAATTCGAGGTGCCACGTCCCTCCTCTCCCCCACTCCCCTGCCTTCCTTCTCTTCTTGTCCCCCTAGATTGCTTAGCAAATTTGGATGAAACAAAACCGGGGTGCTTTGGTTCTAGGCTTCAGGACCCTTCCTAACTTCATCTTTAACCTTCCTCTTTACATAACCCCAGCTGTGAAGGCTGGGGGTGAAGATTGCTTGGTAGAGTGCTTGCCTAGCATGCACAAAGCCCTGGGCTGGAGCCCCAGTTTGGCAGAATCTGGTCATGATAGCTTATACCTGTAATCCCAGAGCTCCCAAAAGGTGGAGGCAGGAGGACCAGAAGTTCAAGGTCCTCTTGTCTATGGCTACATAGAAGGTCAAGGCCACTCAAGCTATATGAGATCCTGTTTCAACAGAGATAAATATTAATAGATGGATAGATAAATAAATTCCTAGCAACCACTGGGAGAGCGCAGGTAGGGAAAAAATCCTGAGGAATTCTTACTATTTGAATGGACATAGTGGAACACCTGAAAGACCAGGAATTCCTTTCTCCTCTCTTGTTCTCCCCGCTGCTTTGTGTGTGTTGTGTGTATGTGTGTGGTGTGGTATGTGTCTGAGACAAGGTCTCCCTATACTGCTCAGGCTAGGCCTGACCTCTCAATTGTTTTTTTTTTTTTTTTCCAAATAACTGGATGAAGTCATGAGCCACCATACCTGGTTTCCTCATCTCCAAAGCTATGCACACTCGATGCTTTGAGTGGCTCTCAAAGTGGCCTGAGTGTTCTCAGAGGAGAGGTCGGAGGGAGTGTGTTCTCAGGTGAACAGGCTCCTCAGCTCCGTTCTCTACCTCACAGGGTTAGCCTCAGGGTAGGGAACAATAGGACGGTGAAAGGTTTGCTAATCCAAGTCTCTTATTTTTAATTTATTATGTAAAACTCCCGCTGTGTTCTCCTTTGAATGCCGGCCAGGGCTTGAAGGAAGCCTGGCCGCTTTGCTCAGGTGTGATGTGAAAGGCGTCTTACCCAGTAAAGACAGATGTCTTCACAGCCAGCCCTCAAAATAAGGTCTCTTGAAAACAGATGCCGAATTGTTGGGCTTGGTGGCTCGGCTTTGTGCCTTTAATCCCAGCACTCAGGAGCCAGAAGTAAGCCTGGTCTAGGAAGCGAGTTCTAGGACAGCCAGGGTGGTTACAGAGAAACCCTGTCTCCAGAGGAAAAAAAAACAAAAACAAAACAGATGCCAAGAATCCCATTTTTTTCCTGCAAGGTGGGGCTGCTAACTCTTTACTGGTGTAGTGTTATTTTCATCATTTTTCATTCCAACTTTTAAAAAGATTTTTACATTTAGTGTGTGTGTGTGTGTGTGTGTGTGTGTGTGTGTGTGTGTGTGTAAGGTGGTGGGGCGGCACATTTGTGCTACAGGACGCGTGTAAACAGCCTGTGGGAGCTGATTCTGTTTCCACCATGTGGGGCTTCAAGCAAGCTGACTGCCTTTCCCTCCTGAGCCATCTCTCTGACCCTTTTGTTCGGTCTTTACCGAGTAAATAAAACAGAAACTTTTTCTCTCTAATACTTTTTGATGATTAGCCGTAGAACAGAGAAAAATGATTTGATCTGTGTTTCAACCGAACTGTTCGTGCCAAACGTCGTAACTGTAGTGTTTTTAGTATCCTTTAAAGAGACTGAGATGGAAGGGGGCGCGGGGGGGAGGGGAGGGAAGGGAGGTTCCTTATGTGTTCAAAAGGAATTCTTTGGCACCATCTTGTGGCTATTTTGGTGCAAAACTTGAAACCAAACCTTGAGCGTCTTTGTTAAGGATTCAAATGGAATCTTACAGCGCCCTCTTCTGGCACATTGCAGAATAGAGAAAACAATAGCGCCCGCCAAAATCTTAAGCCAGGCCAGCTTGGCAGGGTTTCTCACTCCTGAGGCTGTTGACATGTGAGGCCCGGTGGGTCTTCGTTTCTGGGGACTTTCATGTACGCTGTTAGGATGCTAAGCCTAGCCCTACCCAGTAAATAACAGTATTTTTCTGTAACACCCAGAAATGCCCCCACATTGCCAAGTGGCGCAGGGCAGAGGACAGCGGGGAGACCTGGAGATCTCCGGGGTAAGAACCACGGAGAAAGAGCGCACTATGAAACCGCTGGGCAAAGTGAAAAAAGTAACATCGGAGACCATACAACTTCCATTTTCCTAATTGTTATAGAACAGAGGGGAAAGACTTCCAAACACGAAAAAACTGTCATTTACGTAGTTACAAGATCACTGCCCGCAAAAAAAAAAAAAAAAAAAAAAAAATCCACAAACCCACCTGTTTATACACCATGCAGGTTAGGAATGTGCTGCTAACACTCACACTGATTCCTGAGGAAAAATATGCCTTGAACGTCTCTGATTTTCGTGATTGCATTATACGGTTGGTTCAAGAAATATGTGTCATCCCGGAACTCCAAAGACTTGTTCTCAGGCTTTTTGGTCCCATCCGAAAAATTCTTCTACTCTTCTCAGAAATCTCTCCTCAGCTAGCGATTGGAACCCCTCACCATATTCTGTGTTAGCACAAATATTTCGACCCTTTCTTTCTATTTCCATAATCTCTGTCTCAGCCAACCGTCACCTCTCGTCCTTTAACCTTGACCACCATCCCAGCAGCCTCCACCTCTCTAGCACCCGGAGAAAGCCTCTTGGCGGCTCTTACCCACAGTCCTCCTCGCAGACCTGGCTGCCCACACGCCACGTCATACCTCAGAATCAGGCACTGAAGAAGACAACCATTTTCCTGGGCTTTCCCGGGAGATAAGCTCTGTGGCAGGAAGAGGAGGGGAAAGAGATGACGGTAACACAGTGTCGGCAGTGTGGCCACAGCTTAAAGGTGAGGTCCTGCCCTGAGAAGACCTGCTTTATTTTCTCCCCCAGCTTCCGGCTGTTGCCTGGCCTAGTAGGCCTCATGGGCTCGGCTCTCACTTCTCCTCACCCTCTCCTCATTCCGTTCCATGTTCCTTGGCTCTCGCATACACGTCTCTCTTAGGTCCTCAGGCCTGCTCAGTGCCCATCCTGCATCCTTCATCCTGTATTCTTCATCTCTCTCTCTCTCTCTCTCTCTCTCTCTCTCTCTCTCTCTCTTAAAAGATTTATTTATTTATTTATTATGAATACAATACTCTGCCTGCATGTGTACCTGTACCCCAGAAGAGGGCACCAGATCTCATTATAGATGGTTGTGAACCACCATGTGGTTGCTGGGAATTGAACTCAAGACCTCTGGAAGAAGAGTCAGTGCTCTTAACCGCTGAGCCATCTCTCCAGCCCCTATTCTTGACTCCGTGATTCCTCCCCGTTCTTTCCCCACTGATATTTATTTGTATTCTCTCATTTTCATTCTCTCTGTCTCTGTCTCTCTGCATGTGAGCCTGTGCGCCATGCCAGAAACTGAACCAGGGCTAGTGCCCCCGGGAGGTCTCCCCAACAACCCTTTATAGGCTAGCAAGTCGCTGTCATTCCCAGTAGCTCTTACCTTACTTGACATTTCTGCGTTCCCTTATTTTGGTTGCCTGGATTTCGCTTGCTTCATTCTCTGCTGTTTTCCCAGGGCCTGGCGGAATGCCTGGCACCCAGTTGATACCCACTAACCATCAACAATGAGTGATGAAGGACGACGCTTGTAGCCATTTCCTCTACATTGAAACGCTGTCGGAGCGCAGGAGGGGAATCTTATAAAACTCAGAAATCTAATGAGACCTACAAAGCTCAGGAAGCTAAGAAAACAGACCCTGGGAAGGGCAAATGTTTGCAGTTGTGAATAGAAGGGAAAAAAGTCAGCCTGCGGACTGGGGCAAAGGTGAGCCAAGAGCTCTACACTCACATAAGGCCATGGCCCTCATCAGGAGTGAACATCCCTCCTAGTTCTCCTGGATCTTTACAACTTTGGACTCTGGTGAGCTAATGAGTTCCCTTGTCTAGGGAAGGCAGGCTTCTCGCGCGTGCAATCCAGAGCATTTCACCCACACTCCGTTCTTAGGGTGCCACGCTGTCTTGCTAATGTTTCAAGAAGGTCGTTCACCCATTATAGTATTTGTTTATTCTTGAAGGAGTGAATTCATTCACCAAATACTTAGGACCGTCTGAGTACTTTACAGAGGAGCAAAGTGACAAGGAAAAGTGATGAAGGGTGAGAGAGGTTTTATGTCCATGGAGAAGAACGTTAGGATCATGACAATGTTTTCATGAAACACGGGTTTTGTGGGGTTTGTGGATTTGAAGTGGGACTGACGGAGACTTGAACTGGGGTAAGAACTGAAACAATGCAAAGTTCTACTAATTCTGGTCTAGGTGCCAGCCCCTTTATTTAAAATACAACAAGGAGATACAGTCATAAAGAACAAAGCAAGAAAGGGTAAATCTGCAGGCAGCTTGGACTTCACCTCCAAATCTCTGCTTCTTCTCAAACAAATCGCTGGAGGAGAGAACCTTCCAGAAGAAAGGGCCGAAGGGGCTAGGATCAAGGTGGAGCAATGCCTTACCATGGTATTTTATTTTAATTCTTATTGATTCAAAGTCTAAACTCTTGATGTAGTTCTTGCTATTCTAATGGGAAGAGAGGACATCCACCCCAGCCTTTCCCCCATCAGTTCTTCACAAGATTACAGCCTTAATCAACAGGGGATCTACAAACCTGTAAAAGGCTTAGCTGCTTTTTGTCAGTCTGACAAAACCCCTGAGAAGACAAGGGAGATCAGGGTAAATACATAGCTTCAGAGCTTTCAGCCCATTTCAGCCCATGTGTGGAAACACAGAACATCATGACGAGCAGTATGTGATAGGGGAAGGAAAATAGCTTACCTCATCACACAGGCGGCAAAGTGTGACTGGAAGGCACCAGGAACAGGATATCCTCTTCAAAGACATGTCCCCAGTGACCCATTTCCTCTACCCAGGCCATTACTTCCCAATATCATATTCAGTATGAGCTTATCAATGGATTAACTAATCTTCATGATCCAACCACCTCTTAATAACACCATCAGCTAAGGACAAAGCCCTCAGCACATGAACCTATGGGACCATTTATAATCAAACCACTGTAGAACCATAAGGACATATGTGAATCAAGATGGGAACTCCAACCCACAAAAACTGTGAGGCAATACATTTCCTTTTTAAAAATTTTTTATTTATTTAGTATGTATACAATATTCTATGTATGCCTGCAGGCCAGAAGAGGACACCAGACCCCATTACAGATGGTTGTGAGCCACCATGTGGTTGCTGGGAATTGAACTCAGGACCTTTGAAAGAGCAGGCAATGCTCTTAACCTCTGAGCTATCGCTCCATCCCTGGTAATACATTTCTTTTGCTAGAAAACCAACACACATGGGTATCAGAATCCAGGATGTAAGTTTAGGTTATTTCCTACTTTTCTCACTGGTGGGCGGGACCCCACACTGATCTGGATCTTAGTTGTGCGTACCCCCAGCCTCCTATGATGATGATGATGGGTCACCGGTGGGCGGGACCCCACACTGATCTGGATCTTAGTAGTGCATACCCCCAGCCTTCTATGAAATTTCGATCTCACTTCAGGAGTTTAGGGGCAGGAGGATCACTAGATCTTCCTCCCTCTTCTCAATGGGACCACACTGAACGATTCTCCTTTTTTCTGCTTCTTGATGTTAACCTGGCTGCTTTAACGGGCTGCTCAAGGATAGGTGATTAAATGTAGCTTCTTGGGGTTCAATTTGTGACCCAAAGCTTCGTACTAATTGGAGCAAGACTTGGCCAGATAATCACATGGTAGAGTAGGTAGACCAAGTGGAGTCTGCACAGGCAGAGTCACCTTAGAATCTCAGCTTTGAGGAACTGCGGAGATGGAGCCAGTCCCTAGTGGCCATTAGGCCCATTAGCACCCTCTCCTCTGGGGCTCACACACTCATGGTGTTTTCCTCGGTGTGGCAAACATTTGTCTTGCACAAGGTAGTCACTCCCTCCTCAGGCACTTACCTCTTGTGCTGCCGGTGTGATCTCTGTGGGATTTCTCAACTTGGCATCAGTGCCCTTTGACTCCCATCAAGGGTCAATAAGGGGAAAGTTTGGCAGAGACCAGAGATGGAAGGGAGTCAGTTCAAAGTATTTGTTGCCCTGAGTTCTTCTCTGTGCTCCCTCTGATGGGTGTCATTAGAACAAAGTCCATAGCCCTTCTGACCTGATCATCTATCTGCTCAGGGGTCCTGCTGCCCCCTCTCCAATTGTTGTTTTAGTGTCTGAAGGAGTAACTTGGTCTACAGATAGCCCCAGATAACTGAATCATGCCTTTTATGTTCCCTAAATCACACACGTACCACCCCCACCAGCTTGTTTATAAATAAACCCTCCTTTGTATACGCTACCTAAATGTAAGCTATTATTTCCACTTTATTATTAATGTCAATATTTTACTGACTTGCAGGCATTGTTTCCATATTGGTACAATCTTGGTAATCACTTGCCGGGACATTTCTGCAGCTTGTCGAGCTTTGTTTAAGACAGATTTTGTAATGCTCTGTATGTGCCCACTCAAGACCAAGCTCTGGAAAATGTGGCCTTGATCTTTGACACACATAAGGCAATTGGATCTCCGATCATATTTGGGGTGGAGTACGATGTCTGGATCTGATCCATTTGTGGTTCAATAACAGCTTCTCCTGAGAGGTCATAGTTCTCTTGAAGATTTGGAAAGACTTTGTCTTGTGTTCTTTTTTTTTTTAATTTATTTATTGTGTATATAGTGTTCTGGGAACCAGATCTCATTATAGATGGATGTGAGCCACCATGTGGTTGCTGGGAATTGAACTCAGGACCTCTGGAACAGCAGTCAGTTTTCTTAACCTCTGAGCCATCTCTCCAGTCCCTGTCTTGTGCTCTTGAGTGGTCTGTCAGGAGCTGTTTTTCAATATTAAGCACTTCTTCCCTGGGCTTCCACTTTGCTGTGGACTCAGATGATGTCATTGCTGCTCTTGCCAGAACTCTAGGTACCCTTCCTTCCTCTAAAAGGGTTCCTCTACCTGGCAACAGTTGAGATGACAGTGTGGTGACAGCTAGACTTCATTACATATGATGGTTGTGTTCCAAAATACTGTGACTTTTCCGGAAGTATACTGAGGACTTTATCTTTTTAGGAGCACTTCATCAAGATTCCCTGATTATTATTATTTTTTTTAATTAAAAAAATTATTTCGAACTGGGCAGTGGTGGTACTGTTAGGGTGGTCGGGAGCTTAAAAGAAATCCCACACTAGCTCAGAATCAAGAAATAGATAGTCATTTATTAAGGGATAAACTGGGCGCATGCAAGTTCGGCTTCCCCACAGATAGTATAAGAGGCCACGCCCCAGTAGGTGGGTAAATACAAGCTGTAATACTTCCTACAGTAGTGGTACATGTCTTTAATCCCAGCATGGGGGAGGCAGAGGCAGGAGGATTGTTGCAGAATAATTGATCACACTGTGAAACTCCAAAACTGTGTTGATAAAATTAATCTTGAGTAAGGGGGCGGAGTCAGTGACTAGTTGACAAGAGTTAGCCAGACAGAGTACAGAGGACCCAGGATATGGATAGAGAGACGCACAGGAAGAAGAAGGAGAGATTTAGAGATTTGGAGTGTTTTTTGGTCTAGGATATATGAAGAGACACACTTGCTAGGTCTTGGGTAAAAAAAAAAAATGAAAGAAGCTGGTCACTCCTCTACTGCTTCTTTGATCTATCAGGTTTTCACCTCAATATCAGACTCCCCAGTCTTTATTGGTATTAGAATAACTTAGATAAAAAACAACAGGGAACCTTTGTGAGTTCAAGTCCTGCTTGGTCTATAGAGCAAGTTCCAGGACAGGGCTACACAAAGAAACCCAGTCTTGAAAAACAAAACAAAACAAAAAAATTAAACAAAAGAAAAAGAGAAGAAAAAAATTATTTTATATGTATGGGTATTTTGCCTGTATGTGTGTCTGTAGAACAGGTGCCTGATACCCCTAGAGGCCAGATGAGGGTGTCAGTTTTCCTGAACGAGAATCATAGGTGGTTGGCTGTTGGCTGCCATGTGAGTGTTGGGGATTGAACCTCGGTCCTCTGGAAGAGCTGTCAGTGCTCTTAACTGCTGAGCCACCTTTCCAGCCTCTATTCTGATTATTAACATTGTTCCTGCCATTAGATCTTTCTTCTTCTAACTTCTGTACTATGGATAAACTTCCCCTCCTGATGTTTGCCCCTAAGGATCAGTCAGTTCTGTCCCTAAATTACTTCTTAACCTTAAGTAGTAAAATATTGAAGATGGAAGAGGGAGCCCTAAGTACTTTAAGGGTCAGTGTTCCTAGTGCCTTTCCAAGACCTTGATTTGCCTCAACACTACAAGTTCTGTGGAAGTGTTAGGAGTGGGTAGCCTGAGTCTAGCTTCCTTGGAATCTAGGCTTGGATCCCGGGCTGTGGGAGGTCCAGTCTTCATGCTCCCATGACTGAGTGTATTCATTTCTTTCCTTAACCTCATGCTTTCAAACCTTGTCACCTCAGGTCTCTGAATGAGAAATGAATTCTAAATGGCCACTCCTTTAACCATACCCTGGCCAGTGGGCTTTACAGAACTTCTGTGGCAGAAAGGATTTTGCTTTGAACAACAACATCTGCTCAATTTAGTGGAAAAATGGGGAGGGAGCATTGGCTACATGCCTTTGGGAAAGGAAGGCGAAGGGAAACAAAAGGATAGACACATTATTACTTACTTTGAACTGACTACAGGATTCGGAGTTGCAAATGGGCAGGCAGGAGTAGAAGACACTGTGAAGGACATTTAGTCCTTGGAAGTATGCCATAAAAGGAAGGCCATAGAAAAGATAGCATGCAAAATGGATTCCTTCTCCTCCTCCGTTTCCCTCTTTCTCCATCTCTGTAGGAGCCGAGAATGCACGCCATTTCCCACATTTGTGGCCTCGAAGTCACAGAGATTCACCTGCCTCTGCCTCCCGAGTGCTGGGATTAAAGGCGTGCACCACCACAGCCTGACCTGATGGGACTTTTAAACTTAGAAAGCACAGCCTGTGCCCAGGCAGGCCAAGCCTAGCAGTGGAGGGAGGGAGTGTGTCCTGCCCCGTGTTGGGCGACTCACCTTCAGCTAAGAGCCTAGCCTAATCTAAAAGGCAAATTTAGAAAATAGGTAGCCTCAAAAAGTGACAGATTCAGGACAGTTAAGTGTCTGTAAAAATAAATAAGCAGGTTAAATGTGCTGTCTTTTTCCCATTTTTCATTTCTTGTTTCTTTGTCAAAAATCTGATGTTTGTAGGCATGTGGATTGATATTCAAGGTCTTTGATTCAGTTCCTTTGGTCCTCATATCTGGTTGTTTTTTTTTTTTTTTTTTCTTCCCAATACCAGGCCTGTGGCTCTGTAGTGGAGTTTGAAGTCAGAGATTGTGATGCATTCAAAAGTTCCTTTATTGTACAAGGTTGTTTAGGTTATCCTATGTTTTTGTTTTTAGGTATTAT